CTCAGAACTAAATTATAAAGATGTTCAAGCAAGAAAAAGAAATGTGGTATAGCCAGCAAGTAGATAGGTAAGGTAAATGTATCTATTAGTGACTTATGCAGAATTTACTTCCCCCAACCCAAACCCCTTTGTCATGTCATTTCTTCATAAATTTATCATTTTTTTGACTAGATAATATAAAACATTTTCTACTTTGGTCATTTTTTTCTGGATTTCACTCCCTTGTGAGGGCCCTCATATAAATTTGAAAATTAATAAAATGTGTGTCCTTTTCTTCTATTAATCTGTACTATGTCAGTTTAACTTTGACCAGCCAAAGGTTTCAAAAGGGTAGAAGAGGGGCTGGGGATGTAGCTCAGTGGCACAGTGCCTGCCTGGCAAGTGCAAAGCCCTGAGTTTGATCCCTGGTACCAAAAAAAAAAAAGGTAGAAGAGAATATATATTTCTCCTCATTGCTGTCTGTACCAAAATAATAGATCTGGTTGAGTAATTTATATAGAAAGGATTAGAAGGGCCACTATTTTCAGTACAGAGAAACTGTTCTTTCAATCTTATTCTGACTACTAGTATTAAGGCAACATTCCAGGAATAAAATAATATTGGGTGTAACATGCATTAGCAAGAGCAGTTAGGCAGGAAAAAGATAAAAGGAATATGTATGAGAAAGGAATAAGTCTAATTATTATTACTGTATTTGCAGATGACCTGATCCTCTCATAGAAGACCCAAAAATCCAGAAAAAGATTCCTAGAATTGATAACCAAATTCAGCAATGTAGCAGGATACTAAATCAACACAGAAAAATCAATAGCATTTTGGTGCACCAATAATGAACCTACTGGGAAAGAAATCAGGAAAAAAATACCATTCACAATAATAGCAGGAAAAAATATTGTACTTTGGTATTAACTTAAGGAAGTGAAAGACCTCTACAATGAAAACTACAGTACTCCGAAAAGGAAATCCAAGAGGACATCAGAAAATAGAAAGATATCCTCTGTTCCTGGATATGTAGAACCAGTATAGTCAAAGTGGCCATATTTCCAAAATTGATATACAGACTTAATGCAATCCCAATCACAATGCCAACAACATTCCTCAGAGAACTAGAACTTGCTAATGTTTCAAGTGCTCAAATTCACAGAGAACCAGAAGAGACCCAGAATAGCAAAACCAATCCCTAGCAAAGTGAGAGGCATCCCAATCCCAGACTTGAAGTTATATTTCAAAGCTACCATGATAAAAACAGCATAGTATTGCCACAAAAACAGACACGAGGGTCAGTGGAACAGAATAGAGGATTCAGAAACAACCCAAACAACATTCAACTATAGAATCTGACAAAGGGGCCAAAAACATACACTGGAGAAAAAATAGCCTCTAATAAATGGTGCTGGGGAAACCTGGCTATCCACGTTCAGAAGATTAAGTCTAGACCTGTATCTCTCACCATGTACTAACTTAAAATGGATCAAAGAAAAAAAATGAATCAAAGAATTAAATGTTTGGTTTTTTGGTACTGGGGATCAAATTCGGGTCCTTCCGCTTTCGAGGCAGGCAGCAGAACCACCGAGCTAAATCCTCAGCCCTAAAGAAATGTTAAATGTTAAAACATAAATACTAGGGCCGGGGATTTAGCTCAGTGGTTCCGCTGCCTGCCTAGCAAGCGCAAGGTCCTGCGTTCGATCTCCGGTACCAAAAAAACATAAATACTAACCCTACTAGAAGATAGAATAGGTAAAATTCTTGAAGTCATAGGCATAGGCAAGGACTTTCTGAGCAAGAAATGCAGTTACATAGGAAATAGTACCAAGAATCAACAAATAGGATCATATCAAATTTGAAAAGCTGTACAGCAAAGGAAACAACCAAGTATTACTCATACAAAGGACTCATTCGGAATATATAAAGAACTCAAAAAAATTAGATTCCCCCCCCAAATAAAGGACCAATTAAGAAATGGGCAAATGAAATCAATAAACACTTCTCAGAAGTACAAAAGGTCAATAAGTACATAAAGAAATACTCAACATCACTGGCCATTAGAGAAATGCAAATTAATAGAACACTGAGCCAGGTGTGGTGTACATGCCTGTAATCCCAGCACCGGGGAAGCTGAGGTAGGAGGATCTCTGTGAGTTCAAGGCTACTGGCCTGAGCTATATAGTGAGTTCAAGACCAGCCCAAACTACATAGCAAGACCTTGTCTCAAACCAACAAACAAAAAAGAAATCAACAACACTGAGATTCCATCTTACCCCAGAAAGAATGGTCACCATCAAGAAATGTAATAATCACAAATGCTGGAGAGGCTTTGGGAGAAACAGGAACCCTTCTACATTGTTGGAGGGAATGTAAACTAGTATAACTACTATGGAAATCAGTAGGGAGATTTTTCAAAAAACTAAAAATAGAAATTCCATTTTACTCAGGTATTTTCCTTCTAGGTATCTTCCAAAAATGGTTAAAGACATCATACTATAGTTGTACATGCATAGCCATGTTTATAGCAGCACAATTCATAATAGCTAAATTTGAGAAGCAGCCTATATGTCCATCAAAGATAAATTGATAAAGAAAATATGGTGTTTACACACAATGGAGTACTATTCTGCCATAAGGAAAAATAAACTTGAGTCATTTGTAGGAATGTGGATGTGCCTTGAGACTCTAATGTTAGTTCAAAGCAGACACAAGTTTAAATATGGTTTCTCTTATATGAGAAAACCAAGTTATAAATGAAGAGTGAAATAACAAAAGATAGACACTAAG